ACAGTGTTACAAGCCTCCATCCATAGTTCTTCGGGCACTCTGTCCACCAAATCGAGTTCCTTAAATCTGTTCTTCACTTCCACTGTGTATTCATAAGGGATTTCGTTTAGATTATACCTGAGTAGCCCAGTGGTTTTTCCTACTTTCTTCAGTTTAAGCTTGAATTTTGCTATAAGAAGCTGATGATCAAAGCCACAATCAGCTCCAGGTCTTGTTTTTGCTGACTATATAAAGCTTCTCCATCTTTGGCTACAAAGAATATAATCAATCTGATTTCGGTATTGCCCATCTGGTGATGTCCATGTGTAGAGTCCTCTGTCATGTTGTTGGAAAAGAATCCTTGTGATGAACAGCTTGTTCTCTTGACAAAACTCTATTAGACTTTGCCCTGCTTCGTTCTGAACTCCAAGGCCAAACTTTCCTGTTGTTCCTTTTATCTCTTGACTCCCTACTTTAGCATCCCAGTCCCTTTAATAATGACAAGAACATTTTCTTTGGTATCAGTTCTGGAAGGTGTTGTAAGTCTTCATAGAACTGGTCAGTTTCAGCCTCTTCAGCATTGGTGATTAGTGGATAAACTTGGATTGCTGTGATGTTGAAAGGTCTGCCTTGGATTCGTATTGAAACCATTCTATCATTTTTGAAATTGTATCCCAGTACAGCTTTCCCCACTCTTTTGTTGACTATGAGGGCTACTCCATTTCTTCTACGGTATTCTTGCCCACAATAGTAGATATGATAATCGTCTGAATTGAATTCACCCATTCCTATCCATTTTACTTTACTGACACCCAGGATGTCAATGTTTATTCTTGCCATCTCCTGTTAGATCACATCCAGCTTACCACGATTCATAGATCTTACATTCCAGGTTCCTATGCAGTATTTTTCTTTGCAGCATTGGACTTTCCTTTGATGTATTGTAGACCATCTTAACATACAAAACCGCCAGCAGACAATTAAATGCTACTGAACTGTTGTTAGCTAGTATGTCTACAGTGATCTATTTTATAATGTGTTTCTTTCAGACATTATTGTTCTCGTCGCTTCAATAGCAGTTGTTTCTGCAAAAACTCAGGGTAACATTTTTGCAACATCAGCACTCAGGAGTCTCCGTTTCCTGCAGATCCTTCGTATGGTGCGCATGGACAGAAGAGGAGGAACTTGGAAATTGTTAGGTTCGGTGGTCTATGCACATAGCAAGGTAAGAGTTTGTCCTCATTGTGCATTTTTCTGCATTTCTTCTATGTGATTCAAGTCTCTATTTCATGTGAAGATGGGAATTCTAGAATTCACATGAAGAAATAAAATCTCTTGTTTTGTTAATCTTCAGTCTATCACAACTGTGCTTTGCCTGTTTGTACATACAAAAGTGCCTGCGTCAAAATATGGAGTATTTCCTAAGGCCAGAATGCAAATGGCCACCCAACTAATTCTACATGCCCAGAAGGCCTTATGTTTTTTATGAGCAGCAGACTCTCTGCAATATGGAAAAAAAACTTTTTAGAAGTATACCATTTTTTAAAATAAGTGTGTGATATGGCATAGCGTGGAGATTTGCTGTTCAAAGAAACTTTCATAAATGCAGCCTCTTGGGTGTACCTAAAGCAGCAGTTTAAGGCATGCAGCATGAAAGCATACACTCTGTACCTAGAGAGAATTTGTGTGTGCAATGAACTTTTCATATGGAAGTAATAGGACTGATAGAATATAGCACTGTAAATAGTCCAACAAATGTATCAATACAGATATCAGAATACATGCTTCTTTGTAATTCTGTCTTATTTGTCCTACAGGAATTAATCACAGCCTGGTATATAGGATTTTTAGTACTCATTTTTTCATCTTTCCTTGTCTATTTGGTTGAAAAAGATACAAATACCCAGTTTTCTACATATGCAGATGCTCTGTGGTGGGGCACAGTAAGTACAAAATCAACTGAATTACATGATTTGTATTATGGAATATTTAACATTCATATTAAGAATAGCATTTGATGATGATCCCTTTTGGTTTTTATCTTGATCGCTGTTGTCCTTACATGTCATCAAATAGCTTCTGACTTATGCTAATCTTGTGAAATAGTGACATCCAAAAGGTGCTGTCATTAATCACTTTGCTCAGCCCTTTACAAATTAAAGGCTATGGCTTCCTTTACTATGTATCTCATGTCAGGTGTTCCTCTATTCCTACTGACTTCCATTTTTTCTAACATTATTGTCTTTTCCATTGTCTTCTCATGACATATTTAAATTAAGACAGCCAAAGTATATTAATTTTTCCTTCAAGTGCAAGAACCCATTTATTCGTCTTTCTGGGTGTCTATGGTATCCATAAACCTCTCCTCCAAGACCACATTTCAAATGAGTTGATTTTTTCCCCTGTTATTGCCCAGCTTCCACATCTGTTCAAAGTAATCAGAATTATCACAGTATGCATGATCTTGGTCTTGGTCTCTAGAGGTACATCTTTATACTTGGAGTTCTCTTCTAGTCCCTTCATAGCTACCCTTTCCAGGTCTAGTTTTCTTCTGGTTTCCTGACTGCTATCTTCATTTGGATTTATGACTGGACCAAGGTATAGAAAAACTTTTAACAACTGCAGTTTCTTCACTGTCAACATTAAAGTTATATAATCCACTTCTTGTCATGACTGTTGTCTTCTTGAAGTTCAGTTGTAATCTTGTTTTTGCGAGAAGTCTTCTGTAACCCTCACCAGCAGTCATTTCAAGACATTGCTATTTTCTCCCAGTAATTTGCTGTCATCTTTAAGTCTTAAATTATTGATGTTCCTTCCTCCTATTTTCACTCTCCTTCTTCTGAATTTTATCCAGCTTTCTATATGATATGTTCTCAGAAGTGGTTTTTCAGTTCCTCCCACTGATGGTGCTCCAGAACCACAACGTTTTTCAAGGTAGCACTGGTTGGCTTCACTTCTAGGAAGCAGAGTGGCCCCTGGCTCTGGAACAAACAACTGGCCCCTGGCCCCTGGCTCTGGAATTAGTAGCACCAACCCACTGAGCTATTTAGCCAGCTTTCATTTTTGTAGGAGATAAAAAAACTTGAAACTCTAACTGCATTGAGTATTCTAAGCAATTGTATTCTCAATGGCTCCGAATGACCTGTGCTCTTATTAGCAATAGATAATTCTAACCAAGGCTTTATGAAAACAGATAAACATAGTATCCAGACAAGGAGCTGGCAAGTTATAAGAGGAAGAATGAAGGTATGAACCTTCTGGAGACATGTCTTAAACCAGGACATTAAGGACTGAATTCTGCCCCTATACAGTATGATGTGGGTACATGCAGTTGTCCAGGCCTCTGACCCAAGAATTCCACAGTACCCCAAGGAAGACTTTGAGAAGGAGGAGGAGATTCTTTAGGCTGTACTGTACAAGTGAGAACTTGCAGTGCCTCCTCCAATTTTTCCCCTGCTTAAATTTATAGTCCTATCCCTGTCTTCTTGTCCAGGAAATGGTTCCACAGCAATTCTGTCTCCAACCTTGCAGTCAACAGCAAATACTGAACCAGGCGAGGGTCCGGTAAAAAGCCAAATCTTCCAGCAAGATAGGAGGTATTATGGTACAGGCCTAGTCCACCTACATATGGCTTCATAAATCTTGAGCATCTAACCATAGTTCAGCCAGCAGCCAGGCTATGTCTACGCCGGTCTTTTGCTTGAAGAGACTTGATTTTACTTGCCTTGCCTGTACATACACTAACTTAATTGGACTTGGCACTGCCTGATTTGACCTGTCCAGAAGACGCTGGTTCTGCTTCTGTTTTCCCTGTGAGCTTCAGAATCCAGAGGATTAAATTGGCTCAACTAGATCTTAAGAAAACCGACTTCAAACGCTGATGGTTAGTCTGAGGGCCAAACTACTTGTTTGACCTTAAATACAAGGCCTTTTTCCCCCTGATAGAAACAGTCAGTGTGGGAGACTGAATCCAAATTCTGACCTTCGTGTTAAAGGAGGTCCTGCATGAAAATACTTGTAAGGGGAGCTCCTGTTTGCTTTGTTGGAAGCATTTTCCCCATTGCAAACAGCAGGCATAAAGAGGCACTCTAGTTTGAGATGGTGGTGGTGGGAGGATTCCCAGCATTAGGAAACATCAGCTTGCACGAGGAGGTTATCATTGTTGAAATCTTGTATCCATCAAATAGAACTTTCTAGTCCGACTCATTTTATCTCACAGAATTGTACATAATGAAGTGTTAGCAATGTCCTAACAGGAGACTGTCTCTGTGACATCCGGAGTGGTGATATAATCATCATAGATAGGAGAGCTTAGGTCACGTTAGCATTCACTGAATTAAGTGCTGGTATTTTGAAACACTGACATATGGTGGTCCGTCATGAGTTTTATATGGATATAAATTGTAATCTCTCTTTTGTGTGTTATTAATTAAGTATTAGATTTCAGAAGCAATTATTTTTGCTAATTAGAGGAATCATTTTAAATAAAAAGTGCACTAATGATATCACTTAGCACATTTGATTAATTCCGAACTGTTTGTTTAATTAAGTGTTAATTCTAATATAATGCAATAAATTTAGCTCCATTAAATAGAGTATCTAGGGAATTGAGTCTTTTGGTATTACCTTAATTAAGATGCACAAATCCAATTCTGTTCAGAGATACTGCAATTACTGATAATCATAACAAAAAGAACAGTTTAAAATAGAAACATAGTAATCTGCTTTATATCATGTCAGGCTATTTTTTTTTCATCTAGCTTATTTCTCTGATGGGCAACAGTTCTTCACAGTCTCAGGCTAAGGTCTTTCCTACCATCTGATGCCTGATCTTTTAGAAACTAGATTAGTCAGCGTATGAATTGTAGGGATTCTGAAGCTTAAGCATATGCTGAACAATTCAGCTTTAGACTTTGCATCAGAAAAAGCCTGCCCTCACATATAAAAGCTACTAATCTGCTGCCTAAATGCAGAGTGGAAGGGAAATTGCACAAGTGTCCCCTTCCCCACTTAAGCTCTGTTGTGTGGCGACTTGCGTGACTGCTCTTGGTTCAAGAATGGCCATACAGCAAGGAATTTGCAGGAGTGGGTGGGAATACTTGTGCCATTTTCTGTGCATCACAGAAATTCACTTACTCAGTTTTCCATTGGTAAATTATGAAGAATGTTTTAAAAATGAGGGTGCTGTTCCTTCCATACTTGTGTCTGTTTTCATTACAACAGCTTCATCTGGCATTCTACATAAAGCAGGTAAGGCCACCTGTACTGTGTTGTTCCATTGGCCTTTATAATCTTTTCTAACACTAATTTACAACAGCAACTTTGAACTGCGGCCATTTCCTCAACTGAGGCATGAGGGTCAGACCTTCCTTCTCAGCTACTGAGTACAAAAGTTCTTGTCACTATTAATATCCCTGTGGTTTTTTCTCCTTTTAATAGCTATCAAATAGTTGTGGTCTAGTTTTACATTTACTTCTACACATATATTGACAGATACATGTTGTGGAAAATACATCAATCAGGTTGTCTTAAACTTCCGAGTAAAGAATAATGTTTAATACAGTATTTATAGCGCACCATCAGAGTAGAAGGCGTTTTATCGAAAATATGCAAAGAACATGCCCTTGTTTCTGAAGAACTGAAATGTGGAGTTTATAACCTAAATTTCTTCTGAGTACAGCAACTGCTAGTGTTCTGTTGGGAAATGGGCTTGTGAAGAGTTGACATCTACTTGTTAAAAAAAAATCATCCTGTAGCACTGCGATTCAAAGGGAGTGTGGAATTTCTGATATACTTACAGACACAACATTTGTTTTCAAGGCTTCAGAAACTGTTGAACATGTGAACAGACGGGCTGTGTTTATTCCTTGAAAGAGATGGGCTGTTGTTTCTTCTAAGGCAGTGGCTCCCAAATTTGGGTCCCCAGAAGGAAAATTGTGGTGCCAATCTCAGGCAGTGGCCCTTCTTCACCTCTGTGAAATAAAAACATTCAAAATTTATTCCATAGGGTATCATCTGGCAACATGCAGTTCTGAATCTTTCCTACCATTCTTTATAAGTGACAGTGATGAGCTCGTGTTTTTATTATATCTGTTGTCAGACTATTACTGGTTAATGTGCCTAAGAAAATGTATTTTCTTCACAAAGATTATTGACTTACCTTATATAGACATTGTACAGTGCTTTTGTAAAACTCAAGTGAGGTCTTTCCAGGTCATCTTTGCTTCTCGGTTCTCATTTCAGTTCCTGAAAATGAAAATACATTTTGATTATTCCACTTAGAATTGTTTAGATTTCCAGATTAATTCCAACAGCAACCTCAAGGTTCATATTGCAGTTGTCTTAATGGAATCTGATTCTGTTACTTAAACAAAAGGCATGCAACATTAACGTATTTTCTGGTTTAAAAACAGTTGGTTGAAAGAATGAAAACATGAGTAGCTGGGATTTTATTCCCCAAGTCCTGTGAGCCTGTATGTCTCACCTAAGGTGAGCCTGTATGTCTCACCTAAAATCTAGCAATAGCTAGATTTTATATTTTCAAACATGTGGCGTTTGTTAACTTTCTTCTTCTTCTTCTTCTCCTTCTTCTTCTTGGTGTAGCTAATCCTCCCCTACTTTTCATGTTACTGTTACCTTGCCTGATGAAGAATTTTAGAGGACTCAAAAGCTTTTATATTATTTTGTGATTTCAGTGGACCTAACAAAATATATTTCTTGACTATGAATTTTGAATATACAAGTGAGGAAATTATTTGGCAGAAGGGGAGTTGCTCCTTCAATACTCACACATTCTTTTTTTTAAAACGCTGTGCCACCTCCACTCATTTCTCTCACCAGTAGGCTTACATTGGTCAAAATCCTATTGCTCAGTATAATCAGTTACACTAGAATAGGCCCATACAATCAATGGGATTTAGTGAGTTAATTCCTCCATTAGTTCCAATGATTCAAATAGGCCTACCGTAACTACAGTTTACTAGGCTGAAGAAAGTCACAGTTTGAGTAAGCCCATTTGAATTAATGGAACTTAGGAAGGAGCTGACTTACAAAAACCCCAGTGATTAATTGTTCCTACTCGTCCAATTTACTATGCTAAGCAACATGATTTTGGCCATTCTGTTCCAAAACTTGGTTGAGAAAAATATCTGTGTTTTTTTAAAAAAAAATTAAAGTGCATTTGAAAGTGGTCTGACAATTAGTGGTTCTGTATAGAGCCAGTTTTGTGGATTATATGGTTGCTTCTGCCTCTAGGGCTAGCGGGATGGGTTATTGTAGGGCAGACAGCCTTTCTCCACTTGACAGTTTTCAGATGTGCTTGCCCAGCTAACAACTGAGTCATGGTATTGTAGACCATCTGGCAAAAAATGCCAGACTAGCAAAAGCATTTTAAAAAAACATGGAGAATATCAGATAACAAACTATATGTCTTTCTCTGTAAATACCATTACTTGTTTCAAAACTACTGATTTAATTAGCAAATTAATAGCACTAAATTGGTTAATTAAAAAGTTTAGCTTTTACTGTTAACAGCAACAGGTTAATCTTCCCAATGTCTGCCAGATAACCTCAATAAATTAATTTTCAAACCTAACATTCCAGACTAAGAATTTCTCTTTCTGAACAGTACTCAGGAGTCTCTTAATGTTAAAATTAAAATTATTGATACCCGCACTTTCTAATTTTTGCTCACATTAATTCTCATTGCTTCATTTCAGATCACATTGACAACAATTGGTTATGGAGATAAAACTCCTCTTACTTGGCTTGGAAGGCTGCTTTCTGCAGGATTTGCATTGCTTGGAATTTCTTTCTTTGCATTACCTGCTGTGAGTACCTTTATAATTATATATAAGTATAAAGAATCTCACTCAAGGCTACTAACATTGTGAGGGGAAAAATACAAGCTGGTTAGGATAATATCATTGTAACAACTGAGTCTATATCTTCTGTTATGACTCATCCGCGATGAACGGTTTCTTTCAAAAAGTCAAACTGCTTTGAAAACTCATTTACATCCTATGAGAAATACCTACCTCACATGTACAAAAGTACAGTGGTGCCTCGCTTAGCGATTGCTTCGTTTAACGATGTAATCGCTTAACAATTAGTTTTCTGGAGCGATCTTGCGCTCCGTTTAACTATGTTTCCTATGGGCGATTTTCGCATAGCTTTGTTTGGGACCTTGCTTCGCATAGCGATGACAGTTTGGGCCCCCCTGTTTCGCTTAACGATGGTTTTGACAGCCTCGTGTTGGCTGTCTTTTAAATGTTTAAAAATGTTTTTAAAAGGTTTAGAATGCTTGAAATCATAAGTGCACTTAATAAACCCTTTGTTAAACTAATTTGACTTTGTTCTGACTCTTTTTGAATTTGTTGTAATTTTTTCCCCCATTGAAATGCATTGAATAAGTTTCAATGCATTTCAATGGGGGAACCGCATTTCGCTTATCAATGTTTCCTATGGCAATTTTTGCTTAAGGACGGCAATCCGTTCCCATTGGAACGGATTATCTGGTTTTCAATGCATCTCTATGGGAAAACGTGTTTCGCTTAGCAGTGTTTTCCCATAGCGATGGGTTTTTTTTTTTGCACCAATTAAAATCGTTAAGCGAGGCACCACTGTATAGTTTGATATTACTGTATCCTTTTGTTCTTCAAAGTCACAAGCAATATAATAATAAAAATAACAACCTTAGAACTGTGGAACTGGAAGGGACCCTGTGGATCATCAAGTCCAGCCCCTGTCAAGGAGGCACAGTGGGGAACTCAACTCCCAACCTCTGACTCCACAGCCAGAGACCTAAACCACTGAGCTATCAAGCAGTTCTATATTCAGTAAACATGGTTTGTGTGAAGCATATTAAGATGGAGCTTAACAGATTCAAACTCTGCAAAAACACTTGCGGTGTTTTTGAAAGCTGGAGAAGCAGCTTTTTTTTCTTTAAATAAAAATCTAACATGCCCAAGAACACATTTCATCATGTACTGAATTCTCAATGAGGAGTTAGCCATCGATATATCAGTGCCCTCAATGGTTTCCACACTGACCTGAATGTGTGATTTCGAGTATTTGTGAACAAAATTCTGCTATGACAGCTGGGGCTGGTCGTTAAACACTTCTACAGTACATGATTTTAGAGATTTGTGTGTGTGTGTGTGTACTCTTACCTCTTACCAAAATTACTGTACTGATGGCAAAAATGTGTTGTACTGTACTCCAGGGCATTCTTGGGTCAGGATTTGCATTAAAAGTACAGGAGCAGCATCGTCAGAAACATTTTGAAAAAAGAAGAAATCCTGCTGCCAGTTTAATTCAAGTAAGTGGCAAGCAAACCAGTTTCTCAAAGTTCCTGTTAATAAATGCTACAGTCCCTGTTATGTGGGGTTAAAGGAAAATGCAGGTGTTATTTGGCTGATTCCTCGTGAGGAACCATGCTCAGAAAGTTTCTTCTTCCTAGTCCAGCTAGAGACCATATCCAGAATCAGGCTTCTACACACAGACATGCATGATCCTGGTTGTGATTACGTAATTTGCCTGGGAAACCTTGCCTGATTACCTTTTTTGAAAACAGTGAAATCTGAGGAATCTACTAATTAGGAATGGAGGTAGAATTCTGCCCGTCCTCACCTCTGGCTAAACAACTGATTAGTTTTATTGGGTGATTTTGCTTTTGGTTTTTTAGGTCTTTAACAAAATAGCCAACCCTACATACTTATTCTTGTATGTGTCTTCTTGAACTGGAACCCTTGGGGTACATACAGTTCATCACTTGCCACTGAAATCAGCATAACATCATGTTGATTTCAGTGTGTGTTATGCTTGTTGTACCTGATAAACTCATGATGCATTATTGTATTTTGAATAAGTAATTGTTTAAAAAAAACTGGAAGGATGCAATTTATATGATGCACTGCATAACACAAATTACAATACAGTTTCCTGAGAAAACCAGGAACTGATAACAAAATTACAGATTCATCGATGGCACAGCATATTTGCCCCCAATCAATTAATTCTCAATAGCTGAACATGAGTGTGGGCCGGAGGTTATGCATTCAGTCTGCATGAAGAGACTTCTTTCCAAAAATTCAGTACAGCAGTTTGCTACATAGATACCTAGAAGATGAGTCGTGGCAACTGGACTTCTTTCTTATTAGATGTCTCCTGTTTATCATGCCACCCTTTCATCCCTTCCCAGAAAGATTAGGATCACACACACCAGAAAGACCACTGTTAATGACTGTTAATGACCCATGACAATGGGTGGAGAGGAAATGCAGAAGTGGGATTATCCCTCATCCCCAGTCCTTTGTCCTTCTAATGAGGCTATTCTGACCAGGGAGGATATATCAGGGATCTCCTACAAACTCTCCTCAGACTGAAGAAGCTACTTAGATGAGTAGTGAAATGTTTCAACCTAAAAAGAAAGAAGTCCAGTTGCCTTGACTCGCCTTCCAGATAACCTCACCTGGATGACTGAGAATCTTCACAGATATTTTGCTACATAAAATGTGATCGTTTTCCCTTAAAATAATGGATTTATTATAAGTATTTGTATTAAGGTATAGAAGGGATCAAAGTAATTCAAAACATTAGCATATTAAATGTTTTAAATGGCTGTTTCATTGAATTATGTTTATTTTACATACAAAAATACAAGAGGTTTGACTTTGTTAATGTGAGCGTAACGTCATATGTTGTATTCCCTGGCCTTTATTCTTGCACGTTAAATCAAGGACATGCTATACTCATAATTATTATGCGCATGAACTGAGTTGTTTGTATATTTTATTTTATTTTGTTTAACATATATTGTAATAAGATCCACAAATTAACCACACACCATTGTTCCTATTCTTCCCTGCTGTATATACAATATTGCTCTTTGGAAAGTCAGATGAAATTTCTAAAACATTTTACCAGAAAACAATATTCCCAAAATATTCTGGATTATGCTCACAAAGGGCAACTGCCAAATATCTCATTGGGGATCACAGAGCCGTCTTCCCCAGCCTGTTATTCATGTTTGCCTTGGAAGCAAATTCTGAGCAGTCAGATCATTCCCACTCACAGAATAGACAGATAGCTGGGAGAGAAGACAACATACCAGAATTATTTTTATCACATGAGCCTTAAAGTAATTCTATAATACCCTGTTTCCCCGAAAATAAGACCAGACAGATAGCTGGGAGAGAAGACAACATGCCAGAATTATTTTTACCACATGAGCCTTAAAGTAATTTTATAATACCCTGTTTCCCCAAAAATAAGATCTAACCTGAAAATAAGCCCTGGTATGATTTTTTTTAGGATGCTCGTAATCCAAGCCATACCCCCCAAATAAGCCCCAGTTAAGTGAAACCCCGCCCTCCACCATTGTGCAGCAACCAGAAGAAGATGACATGACTGCATTTGAATAAATGTAGATTGTTGTACATGAAAAAAATAAAACATCCCTTGAAAATAAGCCCTAATGCGTTTTTTGGAGCAAAAATTAGCAGAAGACCCTGTCTTATTTGGAGGGAAACATGGTAGCAGCTCCAGTGTAGTTTCTGACTAGCACAAGCCTTCTCTCACCAGGTATGAATCCATCTTTAGTTTCTAGTAACTTATAACCAAAATATAGTTGTCAGCCAGTGGTGTTAGCTAAAAGCTAGTATAGGTCATTAGGTTGGAGCACTATAGAGACAAAGTTGGAGTTTTAATCCCCACTGTGCCTCCAAGGATCCTTGACTACCCAGTGCACATGCAATTAGTGATCTTTATAATTTTTGTAATGGTATTTTGTTTTTGTCTGCTGTCTTTCTCCCCATTGAGCTATGGGCCCTGCCACTTGTGCGGCATCTGCACGGTCCCACAGCACCCACAGAAGGAAGGACTGGCAAACCACATTTCAGTACTTTTTACCTAATAAATCCCATATGGTAGTATTTTTAAAATACCCGAAAGGTAGTCAAACGGAGAAGGGGCAGGATCTATTCTTTATCATCCTAGGGTGCAGCACATGTAATAATGGGCTGAATCTAGAGGAAGCCAGATTTAGGCTGAATATCAGAAAATAACTCTTAAGTGTTAGAGCACTACAACAATGGAACCAATTACCTCAGGAGATGGAGGCATTCAAGGGAAAATTGAACAAGCATCTGTCAGATCTGCTTTGATTTAGATTCCTATATTGGGCAGGGGGTTGGACTCCATGGTCTTATTAGCCCCTTCCCACTCAATTATTCTATGATTTTATGAGTCAGCTTGATAGCACATAATTAATTAAATGGTTAGTTAATGGCTAGGGTGTAGGGACTGCCCACACTGAATATGAGAACAGTCTAGCAGAAATTTGGTATGGAATAGCAGATTGTGCCCACAACCCCGGCTGAAGGCAAAGATGACCCTCCAGGCAAGTGGAAGGGACATGTGGAAGGGACAGGATTCCAACTTGAGATTAATGAACAAATATTCAAGGAATACTTTATTACTTTGAACAAATTCAGATCTCTGATGAACTGCACCCAAGAGTAATGAAGTAACTGGCTGAAGAAGCACTTCAAATTATGGAGGATAGTTGAAGTGCCAAATGATTGAAGGAAAACTAATGTTATCCCTATCTTTAAAAAAGGCAAAAAGGAGGAACTTGGAAACTACAGACCAGTCAGCCTGACATCAATCCCAGAAAAAAAAAACTCTAGAGCAGAATATAAAGCGGTCCCTCTGCAAGCAGCTTGAAAACAATGCACTAATAACTAGAACTTCACATGGATTTGTCAAGAATAAATCCAGACAGACTAATCTTATCTCGTTTTTGATTTGGTATCTTCCCTGGGAAGGCTGTAGACATAATGTATCTTGTCTTCAGCAAACCCATTGACAAAATGCGCCATTATATTCTGACTAGGCATGGGCTACATAAAGCAATGATCTGGTGGATACACAGTTGGTTACAGAATTGTACACAGCGGGTGACTATCAATGTCTCCTCAAACTGGAAGGAGGTAATAAGTGGGGTACCACAAGGCTTAGTCCTGGGCCCGGTGCTCTTCAACATCTTTATTAATTACTAGGATGAAGGAGTGTAGGGAATGATTATCAAATTTGCAAAGATGCAAAATTGAGTGTAACAGCTAATACCCTGGAAGACAGAAACAACATTCAAAAAGATCTTGATAGGCTTGAGTACTGGGCTGAAAACAAAAGAATGACATTTAACAGGGAAAAGTGCAAAGGTCTGCACCTAGGAAAAAGAACTGGAATGTACAGTTACAAGATAGGGGATACCTGGCTCAGTAATACGGCATGTGAGAAGGATTTTGGAATTGTTGTAGATCATAAGCTGAATATAAGCCAACAGTGTGAAGCAGCTGCAAAAAAATATAATAAATGCAGTTTTAGGATGCATTCATAGAAGTACAGTCTCCAAATTCCATCAATTGGAATTTCCCTCTATTCAGCACTGGTTAGACCTCATCTTGAGTACTGTGTCCAGTGCTGGATACCACACTTTAAGAAAGATGCCAAAAAACTTGAAAAAGTTCAGAGGAGAGCAACAAGGATGAGCAGGGGACTGGAAACCAAGCCCTGTGAGCAACAACTAAATGAACTGGGCTTGTTTAGCCTTGAGAAAAGAAGACTGAAGGGAAGTATGATAGCACTCCTCAAATACTTGAAAGATTGCCCTACAGTGGATGGGCAGGATCTGTTCTCAGTCATCCCAGAGTGCAGGACACGTAATAATGAGCTCAAATTACAGAAAGCCAAATTACAATTGAATTTTAGGAAAAATGTCCTGACTGTTAGAGTTGTACGACAGTGGAACCAATTACCTTAGGAGGTAGTGAATACTCTAGTGCTGGAGGCATTCAAGAGATTATTATTATCATTAGTTTTATTTATATGCCGCATTTCTCCCAAAAGGGACTCAAAGCAAATTGTCAGATCTTTGATTTGTATTCCTGCACTGAGCAGGGGGCTGGACTTGATGGCCTTATAGGCCCCTTCCATCTCCATGATTCTATAAGGGGCATAGCCAGGCAAGTTACTTTGGTACATAAGACAGAAATTCATTGGTGGCATCCTCTTATACAGTCTAATTGGCATCAGGACTCATCCTACCATGAACTTTTGGAAGTCCCAGACAGACCTGGGTTTGAACCAGGCCGTCTCCTTGCTATTCGAAGCACAGCCAGCCACAGAAGAAGAGGAAGGTAGGAAGGGCTGCTCAGAAGTCTCTTTGTTTCTGGGCTGTCATTCCCAGAATTCTGCCAGGGGAAAACCCTAAAAACCCATAAATCCACTCCTAGCAATTACCACATATTCGGATGCTCAATAATGAGAAAACAGCTGGCTGTTTCTAAAAACATTATTGTAACTTACAGATTTGAAACTTCTTATTTTAAGAAATGTTTGCGTTAAAGTTATCACACAAATACTTTTTGCCCATTTTTTTCATTATATAGGCAAATTTTGAGAAATGCGTAGTTATATGGAGTACTTTTTAAAAGTACCTGTCCCAATATATCAGGCACAGCTGAGCAATAATTATCTGTTGTTAGGAGACAATGACGAAAATTATGTCATGCTGCCTGAGCAGGTCCCTTAGAAACCTCAAGAGTGGTATGAGCTGAGTGCCCTAAACTCACAGGCCTATTGTTTTTCACTAGAGCAAACCCATACTGATGAAATACAGCTTAATAGTGCTCACAGTTATGAGTGCGGAGAGACAAAACAAAGCTCAGTCACACTCATCAAAAATGGTGCGCCAGAATACTTTCTTAAAGCCGTTTTGGCTAACATGGATGGTGGTTCTCACACATTTAAATATTTCCAACCCAGTTTTCCCTGTGCTTTGCTCGCATAACCCCACTGAACTAATGATTTAAACAGGTGTTGCGTCCATCTTGAGCCAAATCCAGATGTATTCCATCAAGATAAGGGTACTTCATTTCATACATTGTTGGCTCCTTTGTACTTTCTATTGTTTCCTCACACCAGGCTGCTTGGCGGTTTTACTCTACTGATCCCAGACGAACAAACCTGACAGCCACCTGGCGATATTATGAAAGTATTCTTCCACCCTCCAGGCATGTATCAGTGTTATGAATGATAGGAAAAAAGCCCCGACTTGTATTGGTTTACTAATATGCTTTCATTTTTTTTTGTTTCATCCCCTGCTCCCTCTTGCCTTTTGTTTTCTTTCTTTACCATATATTCTGCACGTAGTGTGTATGGCGTAGTTATGCGGCTGATGAGAAATCGGTTTCCATTGCTACCTGGAAGCCTCATTTGAAGGCCTTGCATACCTGCAGCCCTACAAAGTAGGTAAAAATAAGGCAGCTCGTGCTGTACTACATGTTTGTTTCATCTTTTAAAAAAATCAGTTTGTGGTTCTGTCTTGTTCTTTCTCTTTCCTCCTTCCACATCCATTGCATTTTATTTGCTGTCATGAGAGAGCTCATATAATAACCTGAGCCAATTACACATCCTTGGAACTCATCACCATGTTCTTTTGCTTCTGAACTGTTCCTACAATAAGAACAGTAGAATTATTTTTATGAATTGTGAAAACCCTGCTGAAAATTAATATTGGCCTGTCACTATGCCAAAGTAAGTCACGGTCTGAGTTGGCCCCTTTGAATCAATGGATCTTTTGGAGGAGCTGACTCACCAAATCTTCATTGATTCAATGGGCCTACTCTAGTGCTGTTTACTGTGCTAAGCAACAGTATTTTGGCCATTCTGATCACAACTAGGAAAAATAATTTATTTACTTTGCTCTATGTTAATTCATTGTACTTCATATTGTTACAGATATTTATTCATTTTGGATTTATAGCAGGCTACATCTGCAGACCTCCATTGATTACTCTTTTTCCATAACTCATATTAGTTGGATGTACAAATGGAAAACAAAACAGGTTTTTCTCACGTTATAACTTGCATTTTCAGCTGCATAAATCAGCATTCTCCAATGAGATCAAAAGGAAATAATGATTTATAAAAGGAAACGTTTTTGTGCTCAGCATTTAGATTTTTAAAAGTCTAAGCAATTCAGGAGGTTGATACATTTTGCCAGTTCATTCTGTGGTTGTATGTGCTAAGCACGCTGAGCATGCCTTGATGTGGTATATGCAGGGGTACAGAGACCTTTCCAATAGTTTAAATTGCTGTACATATTTCAGTTGAAGTAAATATTTACAGTGAGTTAAATATTTACTGTAACTGAAATATTTAATTTAAACTATTGGAAAGGTCTCTATACCCCTGCAGAAAAATATGTTTATTTGAGATCCTCAGATTTCTTTTCATTCTGATTGAAATATATGACTGAATGTAAGGAAACATGGGACAGACAAACATGCGATTCAGATATGCCAGGGCAGAGGATTACACATCAGCCCAGTCTCCACTGGATTGGATTCAAACCTGCTCCTATGAAAATGGAAAGACTTCTTCTGGGCATGGGTGGAACTAGGGCCCCCTCTGGAGGTAATATCAAGGCACCGATTTTTGTCACTTATCCTGTGCCAGTGATCAGTAACACCTCCTAAGTTGCTTTGGAGCAGCGTAAATTTCCAGGAAAAATGAGGACCAAAGTGGATTGGAGCAATTAGCAAATTTTCTCTCTCCTCAAGAGGAATCAAATTTGTAGAATTCTACCCCATACAATTAAGGATCCAATCTATTGTTTCCAGAAATGAATTATTTTGAAGATATGTAAATAGTTAAGTGAACAGTCTGTTTAAATGTTATTGCAATGCAGTGCTGGTCAAGGATGATAGAATGTTGAAAATTATCAGTTTTCAATCTTTTGATATCACATCTCTGTTTCAATTATTAAGTCAAACCAATGTCATTACTGCTTCTGTACCTGTGTAATAAAAAGCCCTAATTGCTTTCTATTTTCTTTATTATGAGCACTGCATCTTGCCTCGTGTATGTTTTGCATCCAGTTCATTCCGTGGTTGTATCTGCTGAGCACGCTGAGCATGCCTTGATATGGTGTGATCATTTTCTGATATACTGTCATTATGATTCCTTGCTTAGATGTTTTGTACTTGCTTTAGAAAGTGTTACCATTAAACTTATTAATTTAATTAACACATCCTGCTATAATAGAATACATATCTAATAATATATGTAATCGTATTATGATGAATACTGGGAGCATAACTATTTTTTTTACTCCCCAAACCTTTTCTCTTCCATTTTGTCACGTGAAGGAAAGAACAAGGTGAAGCGTCTGGCAGGTTTGTAGTATTTCTACACATATTGCTTTCAATCTAAAATGTCATTTAAGACTGTGTGCCCATCTTTCAGACTGCAAGTTCAAAATACATTAAGATTTTGTTGAATAAACACCATGCTTGGATCCAGCTGTGGGAATGAAAAAAAGTACAGAATTCTAACTTTCTTAGTCGAATTATTATTGTAAAGGCAACAGAATGCTATTCAACATCAAGATGTCCACAAGATTTTCTACCTAATACTAGATTCTATAATAACACGAGTGAATACACCATATAATATAGTGAATATTATACTGGAAGGGCAGGAACAAGGATGGGTCAGATTTGGACTTGGAAAAAAGTAAGAGGTGGATTGTCCCTAATGAAAAATGAAAATGACAGTCTGTACAAAGAGGGTGATAATTTTTAGATGATGCATTTTAAAAACGTTTTAAAGTCTGCCTACTCAGTTCTGCTGATCTATTTCTGGATACATTATTTTATATCTAGCAATTGGATTTAGGCCTTTATTTACGTATTTATTTCAAGTCAAAATCCAATCACTAGTCCTAACTAGAGAGGATCCGCTGAATGATTAAAGCCAGTGCTTCTGATCTAAAAACCCCTGATGATTCAGTGGGTCTCCTCTAGTTGGGATTAGGAATTGTATTTACAAAGACCTAAAATGTGACAGAAGTGTCTCCATGTTTACACATTCCAGGTAGTTGCAAGGCTTTTATTTTGCACTTCCATCTTCTATACTTTTACTTCCATGGGTATGTGAAAATGGAAATGCAGGCATCCTTTCCCAGTCCTGCTATCGCCAAGTTATTCTCGGCTTCTATGTCAGAGGTACTGTATTTCTGATTACCTAACACTAAATGGACAAAACTGCTATGGCTTTAATATACCATTGCTCCCTTTCTGTATAATATGAGAATGATCATCAGATTTTGAGCAGTGAGAAAGTTTTGAAGGGCCCAATTACATGGAACTTGATAGCCACAATCAGTCACTTCTACTGTAGCAGCATTTCTTACGTGACTATAATCATGCCTAATTAGGCTAAGAATGCTAATATATTGGTAAGTCATATATATATTGCATATACTAAATTAAATTTGTCTGGACTATCTCACTACAGATGTTGCTACAGATATTATAGCACATTCCTTGGCATCAACATTCCCTCTAATTTTCCACTAGTGCTGGGTGAGGGTCCTGCCCTGTGTCCACGGGCTTGCTTGAGGCTGTGACCAACAGCAAATGGGTGGCAACACTGGCTCAGCTGTGTGGCAGTGATGCAACACTGTGCAACCACACAGCTTAGAGGGAACGTCGCGTGGCAGGCTTGCTTGCTCATGACGTAGAATCAACAAAAATGAACCACATACTCCATATAGGCTCTTTTACTGCTGTTTGCACAAGCTAACTGTTGACTTGCTTGAGGCTGTGACCAACTGCAAATGGGTGGCAACACTGGCTCAGCTGTGTGGCAGTGATGCAACACTGTGCAACCACACAGCTTAGAGGGAACGTCGCGTGGCAGGCTTGCTTGCTCATGACGTAGAATCAACAAAAATGAACCACATACTCCATATAGGCTCTTTTACTGCTGTTTGCACAAGCTAACTGTTGGTTGGATACAAATTAGTTGTTCCATCACTAGCAACTGATCAAAGGCCCCATCCAGACAAGCTATTGCTCTGGATTAATCTGGATTGGAACTGTGATTCCTTTCCCATATGACCTGGATTTGTTCATGCCAAACTTTCATACTTGTAGTCAGTTTTCCCTCAATGTAATCCACATCCCCCTCTCACGGATTGCTGCCTTGTTGTGGTGAAGGGGCTTGAGTAATTCAGATAAGGTATGGGCTATGCTGTGCAGGGCCACCGAAGATGGACAGGTCATAGTGGAGAGTTCTGACTAAACATGATCCACCTGGAGCAAGAACTGGCAAACCACTCCAGTATCTTTGCCAAGAAAACCCCATGAACAGAAACAAAAGGCTAAAAGATATGACGCTGGTAGATGAGTCCCTCAGGTTGGAAGGTGTCCAGCATGGTACTGAGGAAGAGTGGAGGACAAGGACAAGTAGCTGCAGAGCTAATGAAGAGGTTGGGCCAAAGCCGAAAGGACGCTCAGCTGTGGACGTGCCTGGAAGTGAAAGGAAAATCCAATGCTGCAAAGAAAAATACTGCATAGGAACCTGGAATGTAAGATCTATGAACCTTGGTAAGCTAGATGTGGTCAAACAGGAGATGGCAAGAATAAACATTGGCATCCTGGGCGCCAGTGAACTAAAATGGACAGGAATTGATGAATTCAATTCAGATGATTATCATATCTACTATTGTGGGCAAGAATCCCATAGAAGAAATGGAGTAGCCCTCTTAGTCAACAAAAGAGTGGAAAAAGCTGTACTGGGATACAATCTCAAAAATGACAGAATTATTTCAATACGAATCCAGGGCTAACCTTTCAACATCACAGTAATCCAACTATATGCACCAACCACCAATGCTGAAGAGGCTGAAACTGACCAATTCTATGAAGACTTGCAACACCTTCCAGAACTGACACGAAAGACAGATGTTCTTCTCATTATAGGGGATTGAAATACTAAAGTAGGAAGCCAAAAGATAAAAGGAACCACGGGTAAGTTTGGCCTTGGAGTTCAAAACCAAGCAGGGCAAAGGCTAATAGAGTTTCGTCAAGAGAACAAGCTGGTCATCACAAACACTCTTTTCCAACAACACAAGAGGCGACTCTATACATGGAAATCACCAGATGGGCAATATCGAAATCAGATTGATTATATTCTCTGCAGCCAAAGATGGAGAAGCTCTATACAGTCAGCAAAAACAAGACCTGGAGCCGATTGTGGCTCTGATCATTAGCTTCTTATAGCAAAATTCAAGCTTAAACTGAAGAAAGTAGGAAAAACCACTGGGCTAGT